ACACAAAATAGTATATGTAAATTTATAGCACTGTGATAAGAATAAAGGCTAAGTGTTTGAAAACAGTTGATGCTTGGTAAGTTATTGCTACTTATTTTTGTCTTTCCCTGTAGAGCTGGTTAAAGGAACAAAATATAAAGTGAACTGTTGTGTCTAAACCACAATATGGAACTATCAAAAATGTTCTGACTGCATAGAACAGTTAAAACAGTAGCAAATGGCCACAATATTAAGTAGCAAAGATGGGAGTGGCTCAAATAGCAATACAACATTTCCATTACATCAAAAACTCAAAGCAAATTGGTACAAGCCCTGAAACAGTCCAACAAAAGAAAGATCTATAATATAATCAGTTAAAATGTTAAGACAGTGGATAATACTGTTTATATCCCAGCAATAGATAACTACTATTTAGTTGCTAAATATATACAAAGTATATACATCTATATATAATACAAGTAAATAAACCTATGTAAGTTTAATATGGGTACAAAAGAAAAACAAATGTCAGCTTTTCCTTTCAGGTACTAAAGAGGTAGCAAAATATACTTAGCATTATTCAATATTTTTCTGGCATAAAGATACCAGATTAGATAATATTTAAAAGTCCTTTTTGGCTCTAAATTACTCTCTAAAAACCAAGGTATCATCAGGGACCTAAAAAAACCCCTCAAATACTTCCTCATTCACAACAGGGGAATTCACAGAAACAAGGCTAGCAAAGCTAATGACTTTAGGAAGGCATCTAGGGAAACATAGGCCCATAGGAGCAAATCTCTGCAGTGAAAGCTCTAAGGTTCTGCAGAGAGCTAGGAGAAGGGAGGTGCCTGCTTCCAAATGGCTTTCATCCAGAGCAGACAGCAAAATGGAGTTAAGCAGGGTGGTTCCCTAACATTCATTCTTCTGGGGCAAGCAAACTAATCATTTTCCATCTCCTTTAAGAATAAGTGAGACAATATTTAAATATATTCCTGTCCCTGGTAACCCAGTTTGGAAAATGTGTGTAAATTTGGATCTTGAGTTGAAAACCTTTTAAAAGGATTACAAAAAATATATATTTATTAGAAATAAAAGAAAACCTCCTTGTTTGTATTCCAGGTTCATAGAAGTGGAGATATTATATATATATTTATAAAACTAGAAATATATATGAAATCAGAAACATATACACACACATATATGTCTCATTACAAACTACACACACATATTAATAGTGTAAATTTGTTATTTGATATGAAGGGTGAAGGCTTTACCAAATCTGAGTAAAGTAATAACTGAATTTGAGCTATGATTTGTTACTGTTTTATGTTTACTTTTTGTTACTAACATATCACTGCAAGGATATCTTGAATAGTGTAACAGCACTAGGTTTCTGCTAGAGCCATTTTAAAGCCACACTTTATCCTAACTAACCACTTTATGCATTTACAAGGGTTAGCAATATATAGTTTATGGTCTTGTAATAGATTCTCCTGAAAGGCACGGGCGAGGTCTGGGGAGGGGGGGGGAGGAGGTACCCACTATTATCTGGGGCTCCAAGCAGTGCGCCATAACCAACTGATCTATCTTGACATAACAGAAAGTATTTATTATTATATAGAGTTTTACAAAGCTCTAAATATAACACAAGGATTCCCTACTTCCTAATATCCTTCGGTGTCAAACAATTTCCTCTCTACCCAAATTTCTGTCCTCACTACTCCCATTCAGCTACCAAATGTGAAATGTACCTTTGTGGGGTTTTTCTGTTGTTGTTGTTGTTGTTGTTTAAGATTTTATTTTTAAGAATCTCTACACCCAACTTGGGGCTCAAACTCACCACCCCGAGATCTGGAGTCACAGGCTCTAGCGACTGAGCTAGTCAGGTGCCTGTGAAATGTATCTTTGAATATCCTCCCATTTTAAAAGCCCCTACGACTGTTCCATAAAGTTGTTGGTTTAGGTCTAAAAATGGGGCCTAGTAAGTCCTTTTAACAGCCTCGATGTTCATTGCTTCGGTACTACTTTTTGAATGACTGAAATACTTTTGCTTCCAAAGTCTTGCACCTTACTTTAACGAACAAGTCATTACAATAAACCAAATAAAACTAGTCTGTTTTCTAAACCTTGCATCCTCCACATTACCAGGTAAGTAAAGAATGCACTGCCTGCCTTTAAAGGAACTGAGAAAAGAAAAAGGCAAAACTCACTGACAGATTGTGGCAACATGAAAATAATCAGCTGAGCTAGCCGGACCAGAAGTTTCTGCATTTCATGGTGCTTCATCTTTAAAACTGTATGGACTTCTTAAGTCTTAGGGTTCGTCCATATTAAGGCAAGCCTCCTTTCCCGTTCCCACGTTGGCTGGTTTCGGAACCTGCGCCCGCCGCCGCCCCCCGCCCAGGCCCTGGCAGCCATGCGCCAAAGACTGCAGCACCCGAGCTCGCTGTCCGCAGGCGCGGCGGACCCCGCCCAGCAGGCCCAGAGCTGGGAGGGGGCTCCGGTCCAAGAAGCCCGCCTCTGCGGCGGCCGAGCCGGGCGCCGAGTGGGCGCGACGGGCCGGGGGAGGGGCCCGCGGCAGTGGCACCGCCTGTGCCCGCCCGCCCCTCCCCGAACCTCTACTTAAGTGGCTCCGGCACCGCCCCCGCTTCAGTGCGTTACTTACCTCGACTCTTAGCTTGTCGGGGACGGTAACCAGGACCCGGTGTCTGCTCCTGTCGCCTACGCCTGCTAACCCTTAGCCACCATGGTGAGTGGACCACTCGCGGCGCCGCCCTCGCTCTGGAAAAACGGGAAAAGCCAGCCAGGCGGTCTCGGACGGCCTTTTAGCCAGAGATCAGCGCTCCTCGTTTTGGAGAGCGAAAAGCGAGGCGAGGGTGGGAGTAGTGAGAACGGCTGGGGCATGGAAGGGGGGGGCGCATTTTCTTCTCTGTCTCTGGGAGGGGATGGCGGAGCCCCAGCTCCCCAGACCGTGGTTGGGGCTCTCAATTAGCCCTTAACTCCGGGGTGCGGTGACCCGAGACCCTACAGTCCTTTCCCGCGCGTTCCCATCCCCCCTTCCTTCCCCGGCTTTGGCGGGAGCGCGCGCGGGCTCTCCACGCCCTCACTTCCTCCTTAGCGAGAAGAGCGGAGGCGGGAAGGAGCCGGAATACAAAAGCGCACGCGCGACCGTTAGCTTCCCGCCAGGGAGCGGCGGGAGACCGCCCCTGCAGTCTGCGCGTGCGCGCTGGGGCCCTGCGCGTCCGCCACTGTAGGGCGTGTCGTCTGTTAGCCTGAATTTTTTTTTGTTTTTAACGAAAGAAAAGCTACATGTGGAGAATCCTCCGTGTCAGTGTGCTGCAGTACGCCAGCGTACTAGGATAATTTGCTCCCAACAGCTTCTAGACTCCATCTGTCCCTTGACCTGTGTTAGGAATGCGTGTAGGAGCAGCTGGTGGCGGTGGGGGATTTTGAGAGAATGGAAATCGGATCTTGGTCCAGATCTGGGCTGCTGATAATCCCCTGCTGCGCCCTGACTGATGTGGGGGTGCTAGGCTAAGCCTAGCGCCTGGGGGAGCAGAAGATGGTTGGCCGAGGTAGCACCTCAGCAGACGTGGCCGCTGCGTGTGTCTGCAGCTGCGCGGTCCCGCTGGCCGCAGGCGGGCGCGGGCGCGCGCGCACACACCCTGAATTGCTCATTCATCCTGTGCCGCAAAACCCCGCCCTTTGTCCCTGTGGCCAGACATTTCCTCTGCACTGTTCTGGCCACGTGCTTCCTGTGATGGTAGCTGCCCGGAAATCTGGCCGCCTAGTCTAAAATGGAATTCTGAAGCCTGAGCACTGGATGAATGGCCTCCCCCCTATCTTGGTGCTCCAAAGGAGAAAGCTGTGACTAAGCTTTCTTGGTCTGGAACGAGACCTTCCCAATTTACAGGGTGAAAAGAAATACATTAAAAGCAATGCCGATTAAAAAGTAGTGATTCTCTCCTAGAAAAGATGTTACATTTTAACTAGTTTTAGAAGGGGAAATTTGTAAGATTGATTAAGTTATTTTGTTCTGCTTCACAGTCAAGTACTAGATTAGTTTAATGCTGATTTTTTTTTTTTTTTT